TATATATATATATATATATATATATATATATATATAGTTTATGAAAAACTGGGTAATCCGTATGGGTAAACCTAATAAGGATTAAATCCAGAGAGCTCAATTCCTATTTTTTTGGATTTAGTGGATGTTTTATTAACTGACTTATCTATATAATTTAATATATATATATATATATATATATATATATTTATATATATATATATATTTTCGTTTATTGTTTCAATATTTCATTTTATTACTACTATAAACATCATTTTAATGGGTTCTCGTTTTGCGCGGACATCAATCCTGATTTAGCCAAGATCGTCAAAAGTTTTACATATTAAAATATACCTATCGGTACAAAGCGCACACACATTTCCTTTTCCTTGGAAACTAACCGTCCAAACCCAAGGTTTCAATTAAACCAAGGCTCCCCAGCCAACGCATAACCAAGGCCCTTAAGTAAAACCATACGATATCACCAGGCTTATCTCATTATACAACGCCATTACATATTTCCTGTTGTCTTCACAAATCTCTATCAGGTTTAATCATGAGTAATTTCCGTCTTTGAGAACAAATTGCAATGGCAAATGCATGATTCTAATTACTAAATATGCTTCATATTTAAATTGGCATTTGGACTACACAACGATATCTTAGATTTATACGGCAATATCAGCCTACAGAGCGGATTAAATAAAAAAAATGTGTAATGATGTTGGTCTTTTGTAGCCGACTCGCTATATTGATCTGAGTGAGCAACTATCCTTTTTTTATGAGAGCCGCAAATATCTTTGACGAAGAAAAGTTTTGGATTCAAGTGTTAGTCAAAAACTCTTTCACATCGAATAATTCCTTGAAATGTAACCGAGCGCTGCGTAATAAGTGTCACTGCAAAAAATGGTCAACATATAATTGGATAAATATAATTTTAGATTATTATTCTTAGAATAAGCTGATAAGTAAAAACGGAATGTATTTAATGACTCACCCTTATAATCAATAGATCCATCTTTAGTTAAGGTATTTTGCGTTTGACTTTAGACATGATCATGAGCGACAGCTAGAAATAAAGGGTGTTTCATTAAAAGGGATCAAAGAGAGCAGTAAGTAAATAAATGTTATTGGTGAAAATGTATTTATTTCTCTATTGGATCGTGTTATTTTAGCCATGGTAATTATGTGTGAAAAATAATATCGCCTAAATGTTCGCAAAAGCTTCGGCGGAACACCTTCACTCGATGGTCAAAATTTTTGATGATGTCTCTGCATAGTTGCTCCTCGATCTCAACGATATGCTTTATTATCTCATCCTTCAAATGTTGAATTTTTGTTGGCTTGTTGCCATAGACATTGCTTATGAGATGACCCCAAAGGAAAGAATCTAAATCTCGTTTCTCCTTATAAAAATCAGATTAGTCATAACAATGTTTTTTTTTTTTTTTCGACAATATATGTCATGTCTTGAATTTTATTATAAAATTGATTGGTGGTAAATCTACTATCAAATGTATTGTTGGTCATTTTGCTACAAAATATATTGCTGATAATTTTACTATAAAATTGTATTGTTGGTATTTTTTATAATTTCTTGTGTAATTTCACTACAAAAAAGGATTATTGGCATTTTTTAAAAGATGTATTACTGATATTTTTACAATAAAATATGTTTTCCACTTTCCTAGCGTTTTGATTTTTGTTTGGTTGGGGGTGACTATTTGCCCATAGCTGGGACCCTAACAGGTGCTACCACCCTGGGTCAGCGTGGGTCTGAAAACAAGTAAGATATGCTTGCATGGACATCAACACCTGCAGTCATTCCGTTCAGTGTCCCTGCTTTCGGATGTCGATTATGTTAAATATTTGAAAATAGCAACTTTTAACGAAAGATTGAAATTGCAAGCATGGGTATGAATGCAAGTACAAATTCACTCTTTCTCTTCCGGTGACAGTCATGATGCGTTTTCAGGACCGAAGCATTGTCAGGGGATGCCCATGCATGCTGGGGGATGCGTGATTTTTTTGACTCACCATATCTAGAATTGTTGGCAAGCCATACCATAGAGCCTAGGGTGCCTTGCTATTTAAATGAGAACTGAAGCAAAGCACGGTGATATGAAGCTATCCATTATAGCACACATAAATCCCTTTCAAAGAAGTAAGGGGGTACGAATAGAATAATTGATAAATAATAAGGTTTTCCTTTTCATTGATGCAGATGTTAAACACATCAGAATTGTTGTCTTTATTTATTTATTTACTTTCCAAACCACTGTCAACAAAAGTTTAGGAAGAAAAACTCTACACAGGAAAGAGCGATAACAGCGACTGGACTTGAGAAACTTGTTTGCCTTAAAAAATGTTTTAATAGAAAGATTTTATAAATGTCAACCGACAGAGTACTGGGTGCTCACTCAATAAATGACAAATGTTACCTTGTAGGGAAAAGGTTGATATTTCCATTAACACTAACCCTTTGTCACTAGAGCCAATCGGCATCTTTGATATGTCTTTC